GAATGGGGGGTGACTCGGCTAACGTTTGAGTACGATTCTGAACCGTTTGGGAAGGAGCGGGATGCAGCCATCATGAAACTGGCCAAGGAAGCTGGTGTAGAAGTCATTGTGGAGAACTCTCATACCCTGTATGACTTGGACAAGTAAGTCATACAAGTCTGTCACCTTTTTATTTTATTTATTTCAGGTACATATATAGCGCCGTCAATTTATGCAGCACTTTACATATATATTGTACATTCACATCAGTCCCTAACCCTCAAGGGGCGTACAATCTAAGGTCCCTAACTCACATTCATACATACACATACTAGGGACAATTTAGACCGGAGCCAATTTACCTACCAGCATGTCTTTGGAGTGTGGGAAGAAACCAGAGTACCCAGAGGAAACCCACGCAAGCACAGGGAGAACATGCAAACTCCAGTCAGATGGTGCCGTGGTTGGGATTTGAACCAACAACCCTAGTACTGCCAGGCGGAAGTGCTAACCATTTAGCCACTGTGCTGCCCGTATTGTATCTGTCCAACAAATGGACCTTTTGAGGGTGCTTTGGTGGCAGTGTTGGTGTATTGAGGTGCCATTCATTTTGAATAACATCCCAATGCACGAAGGCAATGTACATGCACTGCAACACATGGCAATTCACCCTTGTGCTTTGCAAGCATTTTGTGACATGTCCAATGGCTGGGACTTTCCTGGGCATGAAAGCCCATTGAGTTTAATTGGCTGCTTTAATTCAATGTCGTTGGCCACTTTTGCTTCTTGGCATGCTGTAATATAGTAGGAACGATCAGAAAAGCAAAGATCTCTTGTGCATCTGACGTTTTCTCTGCTCAGTTCTTCTAAAAGCTTGGTGAGATGGCCAGGGAGGGCAGACAGATAGAGGTCCACATCTGCTTGGCAGCACTAGTTTCGTTGGTTCGAATCCCAACCATGGCACTGGATATACAAAAAAAAACAAATGGGCGCACCAGCCTAGTGCATTATCTTAAAAAATGTATTGGAGGGATAAAAAGTAAGTATTGTACTCACAATAGGCAAACAGGTCAAAGGCTCATCACACTAAGCAGCGGTGTCCAGTCCACATAGCATATAAGTCCAAAAAATGGAACCCTGGACTTCCAACAGGCTAACGTGTTTCGAGGTCTCAACCTCTTCCTCAGAGCGCAACCATGGTACTACCTGCATGGAGTTTGCATGTTCTCCCTATGCCTGTTTGGGTTTCCTCCGGTTTTGTTTCCTCCCACATTCCATTGACCCGCTGGCAGGTTTATTGGCTTCTGTAAAACAACCCATTCAGTTTAAAATAGAAATACACCTTTGTTTCCCTTTTTTATAACAAAAAAAAAGTGATCACATTCTATCTTTTCTCTGCCCAACTAGAGAACTGACCACACTGTGCTCTCATGCCTAGTGTGGTCAGTTTATAATAGGAAAGCAGAGGGACTGGCAGGAACACCAGGGATTTCACACAAAGAAAGCAATACAAAGCAAACCGGAAACTTTTTTTTTTTTTTTCTTTTTTTTTTTTGTACAAGTACACGGTACAGCAGACCCCTATCACGAATATGAAATGTTGGGTTTACATATTCTTTGAGCTTTAGGTCTGCTGAAAAAAAATGTGGCACGGTAATATTGTGTATGCTGCTTTGCTGTGGCTGTATGAATGTGGCTTTGCTCTTTTCTTGTGGTAGCACAATGGTGGGGCACTGTTCCCTCCACTGACGCCAATGGTGGGGCACTGTTCCCTCCAGTGGCGCCAATGGTGGGGCACTGTTCCCTCCAGTGGCGCCAATGGTGGGGCACTGTTCCCTCCAGTGACGCCAATGGTGGGGCACTGTTCCCTCCAGTGACGCCAATGGTGGGGCACTGTTCCCTCCACTGACGCCAATGGTGGGGTTCCCTCCACTGACGCCTGTTCCTCCCACTGGCCACAGTTTGACCCTCCTAAAGTATGAAGGACCAGTAAACTGGCCCTTTGTTTAGACCCCCTGCACTATCTGCATGTAGTTTGCATGTTCCCCTGTGTTTAAGTGGGTTTCCTTTGGTTTCTTCCCACACTTTAAAGACCTGCTGTTAGGTAATGGGTTCCTATCTAAATTGGCCCTAGTATATGTATATTAAATTGGCTATGCCAATGCTTTAACACATTTTGCATGCCAGTCCCAAGCCTGGTAATTGGGAAGGTCCAAGAAAGACCTGGTTACCCAATTCATAAAAAAAACTGTGAAGGAAATTCAATGCAAAAAGACTTTCAAGGGTATCAGAGACGGATGGAGATTTGGCAAAACTGAAGCACTCAGATTCTGGTGCAGCTGTGCATGGTAGCCAATAGTCTTGTTCAATTAAGCTTTGACAGTCATTGGTGACACGGCTGCGATATAAAATGACATGATTTGTGTGCAATTGCAGCTCCATTTCATGCGCAATTTCTGAAGACTTTATTGTACTTATTGCTACTGATTTCTTGCAATTTGCAGTGTTATTTCCATTATATTCTATGTATGTGAAATCGCAACAAAACTGCAGAAAAAGTAAAGCAAGAACTTCTTTAGAAATCGCGCATGTTAAGACACTGACATTCACATTCATTAGATGTGATTTCGATTCCCAATTTGCCCCTGAAATTGTACCGTTATGACCGGGCACTAAAACCTGGAAGCTGATTGGTTTCTATGCAGAGCGGCACCAGATTTTGCACCTTGCAGTTTTAGTAAATAACCCCCCTGGTGCCTATTTAGATACAACAGAACAGATCTATCGATCTATCTATCCAGTCGTATCCAACCCTTGGCGATCGTATGGACTGTCACTCGCAGGCGACTTCTTCCATGAATTCTCTTAGCAATTATTTTACAGGGTAGGTTGCCAGGTCTTTCCCCAACCCCTACCATGCAGGAGATCCCGCATGGCCAGGGATGAAACTAGGACAATTTAGACAGGAGCCAATTAACCTACCAGCATGTCTTTGGAGTGTTGGAGGAAACTGGAGTACCTGGAGGAAACCCACGCGAACACAGGGAGAACATGCAAACTCCATGCAGGAGGCGTCATGGTTGGGAATCGAACCCATGACCCAATTACTGCAAGGCAGAAGTGCTAACCACTAAGCCACTGTGCAACCCCCGAACAGATATATACATACTTACAAATGAAAAAGGGCATTGTAGGTCTGCAAAAAAAAAAAAAGAGAAAAAGGAAAAAAAAAATTGGGCAGCAAAACCCACCCAGGAATGGGGGCTGAAAGCTAAAACCATGGTAACTGCGGTCCGTCTTTACCGCGTCACACGCACTTTGTTCATTCATGCCAAGGCAAGCGTAGGATTCTCCATACGCTCCTGGCAAGCGTAAACACCGCCACCTGCTGGTCTCTCTTCCTTCCTGCAGAGTCACACAGCCTGGCATGTGCTCAGTGGGTTCCTACGTCCCTGTGCTGAGCTGTCACTCCTCCCCACACGTGCAGAGAGGAGAGGGAGCCTGGATATAAGCCACCGACAGCGTAATCGCTGGCACAGAAAAAAAAAAGGGGAATGAAATCTAGAATACGTGGTTGCATAAGTTGTTGACAGCGCAGGGTTGGGGGAGAGAGGTGGGAGCGATGTAATGAGATTTCCCTCAGCCAGGCTGAACAGCAGGAGGCTTGCATCGGTGTTATATAAAGATGCTGCTGCAACCCACAATGCCTTGCGCTGCTCTTACTACTTTGTTCTGTACAGGCAGCATACGCACTGTGACGCCAAGTGCACATTCCGGAGTGTTTGATCAGCAAACATCGCGCTGTAATATAAGTATGTGGGTGTGCAGATCCTTTCATGAGCCGTACCATATGAGATCAGAACCTGTCATCCTCGTTCTCTACAGAGGGGTGATGTGAGGCTTCTCTATGAAATGCTGCACCAGGCATTAGCTAGCAGCTGCATCAAAGGGTCCTTGGGACCGAATTTTCATATCACAGATAGAAACCAGGCAGAATTTCCTCTTTATTCTCAATTGCTTTACGTTGAGGGACATCAAAGTTCTTTTCTGATCCTTTCATCATTTCTAATCAAATTCAAGGTCGGTCAAAGGGCAGTCAAATAAAATAAAATTCTTCTTTTTTTTTTTAATTTCATTCTTCAGTTATTAGTGGAATGGTAAGAGACTTGATTGTAGACTTCTGCAATATACCGTATTTTTCATTCCATAAGACGCACCTAGGTTTTAGAGGAGGAAAACAAGAAAAAAAAATATTCTTAACCAATGGACTTCTGACATAGTACAGGAGATGACCAGAGACTGCGGACACGGTACAGGAGATGACCGGAGACTGCGGACACGGTACAGGAGATGACCAGAGACTGCATACATGGTACAGGAGATGACGGAGACTGCGGACACGGTACAGGAGATGACCAGAGACTGCATACATGGTACAGGAGATGACCGGAGACTGCGGACACGGTACAGGAGATGACCGGAGACTGCGGACACGGTACAGGAGATGACCGGAGACTGCGGACACGGTACAGGAGATGACCGGAGACTGCGGACACGGTACAGGAGGACCGGAGATGATGATGACCGGAGACTGCGGACACGGTACAGGAGATGATGACCGGAGACTGCGGACACGGTACAGGAGATGATGACCGGAGACTGCGGACACGGTACAGGAGATGATGACCGGAGACTGCGGACACGGTACAGGAGATGACTGCGGACACGGACAGGAGATGACCACCGGAGACTGCGGACACGGTACAGGAGATGATGACCGGAGACTGCGGACACGGTACAGGAGATGATGACCGGAGACTGCGGACACGGTACAGGAGATGATGACCGGAGACTGCGGACACGGTACAGGAGATGATGACCGGAGACTGCGGACACGGTACAGGAGATGATGACCGGAGACTGCGGACACGGTACAGGAGATGACCACCGGAGACTGCGGACACGGTACAGGAGATGATGACCGGAGACTGCGGACACGGTACAGGAGATGACCGGAGACTGCGGACACGGTACAGGAGATGATGACCGGACGGACTGCGGACACGGTACAGGAGATGATGATGACCGGAGAGACTGCGGACACGGTACAGGAGATGATGACCGGAGACTGCGGACACGGTACAGGAGATGATGACCAGAGACTGCGGACACGGTACAGGAGATGATGACCGGAGACTGCGGACACGGTACAGGAGATGATGACCGGAGGAGACTGCGGACACGACACGGTACAGGAGATGATGACCGGAGACTGCGGACACGGTACAGGAGATGATGACCAGAGACTGCGGACACGGTACAGGAGATGATGACCGAGAGACTGCGGACACGGTACAGGAGATGATGACCGGAGACTGCCGACACGGTACAGGGTATGACCAAGAGATGATGACCGGAGACTGCAGACGTAGTACAAGAAATGACCAGGGACTGCGGACATACTACAGGAGATGATGACCAGAGACTGGGGACCTTTGAGGAGCAGAAGGGGGGGGGTACCCGAATTTGACAGGTACCCGGTTCCACTTCTGCGGAGTTGTCTTCCGCTGCAGACTAAACTGTGAACTCACATGAACATACTAGGTTGATGATCATAGGACTCCATAGTGGCCCTATAGGGGAATACTGTACTGATGTTGTATAGTCACATTTTGTGTGGGGAGCAGAGAAGGAACATTGCTGTGAGACGCACCCAGTGGGTTGTTTTACCTTTAGTGACTAATGACCAGCATTACACTTGTACAAACCCTAGCAGGCGGCATATTCTTCCAACTGTGAGGACAACCAGCAGTATAATAGTCACATTCAAACCCCTCATTTCATGTTTGCTCTCACCCTTCTGTATGCATCTGACTGCGCCCAGGTTTGGACTCCCATCCCTATGTGGAAGTAACTGCTTAGTGTGCGACTACAGCGATCACCAGTATTCACTTGCATCTCTCAATCAATCCAGCAGCAGGAATCTGGTTCATGCCAATGGAATCCAGTGTATGCGGGTAAATACCCATGTGACGGGGACCCTAGACTTCCCTGCTTGCTGTTATGACCAACAGTACCCCTTCTCTTTGCTCCAGTTTTCAGTTTGTATATTACTGTCTATTGACCCTCGCACCTTTCCTTTTCTATGCAGAATCATTGAGCTGAATGGCAACAGCCCCCCACTCACCTACAAGAGATTTCAGGCTATCATCAGCCGAATGGAGCTTCCTCGCCGACCCGTCCCCAGCATCACACGACAGCAGATGGAAACATGCCGAGCAGCGATTAAAAGCACACACGATGAGACCTATGGGGTGCCGTCTCTGGAGGAACTCGGTAAGACATTTTGGGGTTGATTTACTAAAACTGGAGAGTGGGGATACCTAATTATTATGATTTTTTTTTTTTCTTTCTACTAGCGAGTACTCGCTAATACCATTATTGATACCTTTTGTGGTGCAATTTGAGCCCATGCTAAATGAATGGGCTTCAATCGCACTGCAAAGAAGAGCATGCAATTTGGGCAGGAATACGGCGCTAGTCCTGTTCGAATCGCATGCAGTTTCCCGCACCGCTCCTGTGTGAACCTAGGCTGAAGTCACTATAATAAGCCTGGGTTCACACTGGAGCGGTGTGGGAAACCGCGTGTTTGGACAGGAGTTGCAGTGATACCTCACATGTGTGGGGCGATTGCTGTTTGCATGCATGGACCGGTGCGTGTGGTCGCCTTTATGCCAGGGCAGTGGGCACTTCAATTTTTTTTTATGCTGTCATCCCCTGTGACAGCAATAGACATGTGACAAGTGTTTTTATGGATACTGAGACCCCAGGTCCTTCCTGTGCACTTGAAAGCATTCAAAACGCCAAGATCTGTGTTTTTGAATGCTTTCAGATTTTAAAAAAATGGCACCAAACGTTTCCAAGTAAACCAGAAGTGATGTCAGGTCACCGCTTCCAGTTTACGCAATAAAGGAGAGCCGATCAAAGCTGATTCTGGCTTTGTTCGGCTGTCTGGTCAGCTGGCGGATGCGCTGGGTGGTAGCTCGGGACTCCCAGTGGGAGGGGGGTAGTAGCTGCTCCAATTTTCTTGTACAAGAGAGCCAACCACCAGCTCTAAAAAAACGGTGTCCGGGTGATGCCTGAAACTGCAGGCATCGCTCCAGTACAACCACGATAAGTCCAGTGATGTACGGGTACGTCGCTGGTCCGGAACTGGTTAAGCTTTGACAAGGAAGAAAAAAAAAACCTGGAAGCTGATTGGTTTCTATGCAGAGCTGCATCAGATTTTGCCCTCTCCAGTTTCAGTAAATCCCTTTGGTGAATGCCATAGTCTAAAAATTCCTGTGGACATTAGATGGCTTGCCCATTAAGGACAAAGTGATTTGTGTCTTTGTAAAGGGCCCCCCAAACCCCAGATACTCCCCTTGCCAGCGATCCCTTGCCACCTCTGTTTCTGTCGCAGCCAGCAACCAGCCAAGTGCTTCCAAGTATGAGGAGTGACGACCTCCAATGTGAACATGCTTGGATCTAGCAGCCAATCTCTAGGCCCGAGCAATGTCACATGACCATGGGAGTGGCATCATAACGCCAGTTAGTGTCTGATACTAAGATTCGCCTTGGACTCCTACTACACTGCCTTGCTTTTGGCTGTGCCTTCTTTCATTTTTGTTCCTGGCTGCCATGTTCTAGATATATGGATATGGGCTGTCATTGAAGATGTGTTCATATTTTCCCGGATTGGCTTTGCTTTGTGTCTACTTGTATGATTGGTAAGAGCCATTAGACTGGCAATTCCACCGGGGGGCAGATGTGTGTGTGTGTTTCATAAGGGCCAAAAATTTCAGGATGGTACAAATACCCAACAAATGACCCCTTTTTGGAAAGTAGACACTCCAAGGTATTCAGTGAGAGGTATGGTAAGTGTGTTTTTTTTTTTTTTTTTTTTTTTTTTTCTTTGTAAAGTTGCTAATAAGATTGGCTACAGCCATCACATGGTACTTGTGCACTCTGATTGGCCCAGTCTCTACCATGTTGTCCCTGTGACCAATCAAAAATAGTACACAATGAATGGCTATGAATGAAAGCCATTGTGTACAAACAGGTGATTGCTGTGATTAGTCCCCTGGGGCAAACACAAAGCAAACGCCTGGAGGACGTCATATGATGTCCACCCAGGATAACGGTGCTCACGGCTAGGTAGGAGGTGGTTAAAAAAAGATTTAATATCGGTATAGTAAATATTTGTATATGTTGTGTCTCTCAGGTTTCCCGAGTGACAATGCAGGAGCAGCTGTGTGGCCCGGAGGTGAAACGGAAGCCTTGACCCGCCTTGACAGACACTTGGAACGAAAGGGTGTGTGTGATGGGGGAATGTTCTGTGCTTTTTATCCCATAGGTATTAGCCCAATGGCTGATAAATGTCCTTGTGTTGACATATGGTGGCCTAGTGGATAGCCTTTGTGCTCTAGGTTTTAGTTCTCGTAGCTCTTTCCAGGGTCCCTTTTGCTGCATAGTGTTTGTGTGTTCTCTCTATGGGTAGATTACTTTTCAATGCTAAGGTTTCCTATAGAAATATCCTGATATGGTAGTTGGCTACCTTCCACTGTGTCCTGGCGTGTTTTCTGGTATCATTTGGGGTCATTTGTTCCAGTACTTACATTATCTGTATCTGTTCCAGGCTTGGGTGGCCAATTACGAAAGACCCAGAATGAATGCCAACTCTTTACTGGCAAGCCCTACGGGTCTCAGCCCTTACCTGCGCTTTGGCTGTCTTTCCTGCCGACTCTTTTACTATCGGTTACGGGAACTCTATCAGAAGGTAAGTCAAACTGTCAGATGATGTCTACAATAAATTGTTTCCCTGGTCACAGTTTGCGGGTCGGGAACCGGTTTGTAGGCTTTGTACTTGGAGCTTCCATAGCCCAAATGTTTTACTTTTACCCAAGCTGACCAAAGTCATGTATGACTCCTATATGGTTTACCATTACATCAACAGGAGGTTCATTTGTTGAAGATTCTAGACTTTTACATTTTACTTGCTGCATGTTTGGTGCAGTTTTCCAGCAAATCATGTCTTCCACTGGGATGAATAGGATAATACAATAAAACACAAGATGCTGCACTGCATGGTAACCCAGGTATATGAATCTTGTCTGTTATTGAACACCTTACAAAAGAAATGTATCATCAAAGGTCCAATACAACCCAGCCCCATCGTAGGGGTGTACACAAAGCAGAGTTTCCTGAGAATGAGCATCGCTAAATTAGTACAAAAAAGCAATGTTTGCGATCATTACCCTATCCTTTACATTATATTAATACTTGTACAGGTTGCTTTTTTTTTTTTTTTTTTCTTTTGCAAGTATTTTACAGATTTTTTTTATTTTTTTTTTTTACTTTTATTAAAAGAGAACTGTCATCTATCTTTCATAATGAACAAATAAAATATAGCGATAGTGAGCGCTCTCCGTTATAGCAGGTAACCAAGTAAAAACCTCCAGTATGTAATAAGTAATAAAGTGCAGCGCTAAATTGGATGAAAATCAAGTCACAGTATACCTCAATATAAAGTCAGTTCAATGCATATTGGCAGTATTCATGGCTCTCTATCGGTGCTTCAAGGAAATGATAAAATGATACGCTTACCAGAAGCACATAGATTATGTGCATTAATATATCCGTTACAGAAACTTCAGAGTGGTGAAGTATGTATCTGGGACATCCGTCTCCTATTGGGCAGCTCTGCAGTGAATGGGTGATATCTGCTCCAGAGGTCTCCTTAAGGATCAGCAGGGTCAGCCACCTGATTACAGGAATTCCCCTTCTCTGGATATTGATGAACTTCCAAGGTTCTGCATACTTAAAGGCTCCGTATAGGAGTCATAAGAAAAGTGCCCATAGTGTAATATTGCCAAGAATTGTAAATTTATTAAATCCAGAAAGTTAACAGTAAAATAAGGTACACTGACCAGTAGTTAAGATGGCTGCCGGACGAGCACGTGGCTCCGGTGTCTAAATTATTATTATACAGTATTTATAAAGCGCCAATAGTTCGCTCAGCGCTGTACATTACAGAGGGGGACAGAACATGTGACAGAACAATACCAATACAATGCAAAACATGAGGGGATCGAGGGCCCTGCTCTTTCGAGCTTACAATCTAGGAGGGAGGGGATGGTGGTACAGGAGGAGATAGCTGTGGGGGATGGAGTGGTAGGAAGAGTGGAGGAGGTCGGCAAGTTAGCAGGGGGTGGGGTAGGCTTCCCTGAAGAGATGGGTTTTCAGGGTGCGCCTAAAGGAGAGGAGAGTAGGTGATAATCTGATGGGTTGGGGCAGGGAGTTCCAGAGGATGGGTGACACCCTGGAGAAGTCCTGGAGGCGGGCATGGGAGGAGGAGACCAGGGAACTATAGAGAAGGAGGTCTTGTGAGGAGCGGAGTGTGCGTGCTGGGCGGTACTTGGATATTAGGTCAGTGATGTAGTTCGGGGCAGTATGGTGGACGGCTTTGTACGTCAGCGTTAGGATTTTGAATTTGATCCGTTGCGCAATCGGAAGCCAGTGGAGGGATTGGCAGAGGGGGGTGGCGGAAACGGAGCGGTTGGAAAGGTGAATGAGTCTGGCAGCCGTATTCAGGATGGACTGAAGCGGGGATAGCCAGCGGCGAGGCAGGCCAGTGAGGAGGGAGTTGCAGTAGTCGAGTCGTGATATGATGAGGGAGTGGATGAGCTGTTTAGTGGTTTCTGGAGTTAGGAACGTGCGGATTTTGGCGATGTTGCGGAGGTGGAGTCTGCACGAGTTTGTTAAAGAGTGGACTTGGGGCTGGAAGGATAGGTTGGAGTCCAAAATGACACCAAGTATTCTGGCCTGCGGGGCAGGTTTGATGGTGGAGTTGTTGGACATGATGGAGAAGTCAATGGGGGGTGGTGTCCGGGCTGGAGGGAAGACAAGAAACTCGGTTTTGGAGAGGTTCAGTTTAAGGAAGTGGAGCGACATCCAGTCTGATATGTCACTCAGCAGGTGTGTGATTCGGGCGGAGACCGAGGGGGTGAGGTGGGGGGTTGAGAGATAGATTTGTGTGTCGTCGGCATAGAGGTGGTAGTTGAAGCCGTGAGAGTGTATGAGTTGGCCAAGGGAGGAGGTGTAGATGGAGAAGAGAAGGGGCCCAAGGACAGAGCCTTGAGGGACCCCAAAAGAGAGGGGGAGTGAGGGGGAGGTGGTAGCATTATAGGTAACGCTGAAAGAGCGTTGTGACAGGTAGGATGAGAGCCAGGAGAGAGCAGAATCTCTGAGGCCGAGGGAGTGTAGTTTTTTTGAGGAGGAGGGGGTGGTCGACTGTGTCGAAGGCCGCAGAGAGGTCAAGGAGTAGGAGCACTGAATAGTGGCCATTAGCTTTGGCGGTTAGCAGGTCGTTGGAGAGTTTGAGTAAGGCAGTTTCGGTGGAGTGTAGGGGCGGAAGCCGGACTGTAGGGGATCGAGGAGGTTGTTGTCGTTGAGGTGAGAGCATAGGCGGGCGTAGACTAGGCGCTCGAGGAGTTTAGATGTAAATGGGAGCAGGGAGATGGGTCTGAGGTTGTTCGGGTCGTTGGGGTCCAGGGAGGGCTTTTTAAGTATTGGGGTGATGTGTGCATGTTTCAGAGGGGAAGGGAAAGTGCCGGAGGAGAGGGAGAGATTGAAGATGTGGGTGAGGGAGCGTAGGATGGAGGGGGAGGGAGGTTGTAGGAATTGTGAGGGTATAGGGTCGAGGGGGCAGGTGGTGAGGCGGGCATCAGAGAGGATCTTGGAGACTTCTTCGATGGTAGTAAGGTCAAAGGTGCGGAGTGTTGGGGGAGCTTCAGTATGAGGAATGTAGGGTGGGGTGGGAGAGGAGGTCAGAGCAGTGGTGGGGCCGTGGGAGAGGGGTGAAGAGGGGGTAGCTGAGTGAGGGGGAAGGGGGTTGGAGGGAGTTTGAGCAGCAACGAAGTCCCTGTGGGTTATGTCGAGGGGGAGGGGGGATAAGGGGGTAGCTGTGTGAGAGGGGACGGGTTGAGAAGGCGTGTGAGTTGCGGCAATGTCCTTGCGAATTGTGTCAATCTTGTTTTTGAAGTGATTGGCAATCTCAAGGGCAGTGAGTGAGGTGCTGGGTGGAGGTGGGGGTGGCGAGAGTAGAGAGTTGAAGGTGGAGAAGAGTCGGCGAGGATTGGAGGAGAGGGCCTTGATGAGGGTCAGGAAGTAGGCTTGTTTGGCAGTATGGAGGGAGGAGGTGTAGGTGTGGAAGGCAGATTTGTATCGGGTGAAGGCTTGTTGGATTTGGTTTTGCGCCATAGTCGCTCCAGGGCACGACTGTGTCGTTTGAGGGTTATGGTGTGATCAGTCTGCCAGGGCTGGAGCGGTCGGGGTCTGATGTTGCGTGTGGTTAAAGGCGCTAGTGAGTCAAGGGCTGTTGACAGCGCATTGTTGTAGGCGGTCACAGCCAAGTCGGGGCAGGATGCGGTCATGGAGTTGATCAGCTGCGGAGTGGAGGGAGGCAGGGTTAAGGTTGCGGAGGTTACGGCTGGTAGTAGTGTGACATTTGGAGGGGTAGGCGTTGGAGGATGAGGAGATAGAGAAGGTAATCAGGGTGTGGTCAGAGAGAGGGAAGGGGGTGTTAGTGAGGTTGTGGGGAGCGCAGCGGTTGGAGAAGACAAGATCAAGGATATTACCGTCGGAGTGGGTGGTGGATTGTATGCACTGTGCAAGTGCAAAGGAGGAGGTTAAGTGGAGGAGACGGGCTGTGTCCGGGTTGTCGAGGTTGACAGTGATGTTGAAATCCCCAAGGATGATGGTGGGTAGCTCAGAGGAGAGGAAGAAGGGTAGCCAGGAGGAGAAGTCTTCCAGGAAGCGGGGTATGGATCCAGGAGGCCGGTATATCACAGCAATCTTCAAGGGGGTTGGGGAGAATAGTCGGACGCAGTGGGCCTCGAAGGAGGAGAAGGATAGGGAGGGGGGGTTTGGGAGGACTCGGAAGGTGCTCAGCGGTGACAGGAGCAGGCCAACCCCACCACCTTTACGACCGTTGGGCCTGGGTGAGTGGGTCCAGGTGAGACCTCCGTAGGAGAGTGCAGCAGGGGAGGTAGAGTCAGTGGGCTGGATCCAGGTTTCCGTAATCGCCAGGAGGTTGAGGGAGCGGGAAACAAAGAGGTCGTGGATGGCGGTAAGCTTGTTGCACACACAGAGTTAACTCTCTTGATTTCTGCACTTTATTACTTATCTTTCATAATGTGTGGCCTCCTTGTCTTGGAAACTAGTTTAAAACCAGTTTCATCAAATAATTTAGTAATGGTAAAAGTAGACCAGGAATGTGATCATATGGTAAGGTCAGAGGTTACAGCTACCAAATAGGAGTAACACACACACTATATTGCCTAAAGTATTGGTCAGCCTGCCTTTACACACACATGAACCTTTAATGGCATCCCAGTCTTTAATCTGTAGGGTTCAATATTGAGTTGGCCCAGCCCTTTGCAGCTATAGAAGCTTTAACTCTTCTAATCGTGTGTCTATGGGAAGGTTTGACCATTCTTCCAGAAGAAACATTTGTGAGGTCAGGCACTGATGTCTAATGAGAAGGCCTGGCTCATAGTCTCTGCTCTAATTCATCCCAAATGTGTTCTATCAGGTTGAGGTCAGGACTCTGCAGGCCAGTCAAGTTCCTCAACCCCAAACTCGCTCATCCATGTCTTTATGGACTTTGCTTTGTGCACTGGTGTGCAGTCATGTTGAACAGGAAGGGGCCATCCCCAAAATGTTCCCACAAAGTTGGGAGCATGAAATTGTCTAAAATGTCTTGGTATGCTGAAGCCTTAAGAGTTCCCTTCACTGGAACTAGGGGGCCAAGTCCAACCCCTGAACAATTCCACACCATAATCCCCCCTCCACCAAACTTTACACTTGGCACAATGCAGTCAGGCAAACCCAGACATGTTCATCGGATTGCCAGACAGAGAAGCGTGATTCATCACTCCAGAGAACATGTCTCCACTGCTCTAGAGTCCAGTGGCGCCGTGCTTTACACCACTGCATCCGACACTTTGCATTGCACTTGGTGATGTTAGGCTTAGATGCAGCTGCTCGGCCATGGAAATCCATTCCATGAAGCTCTCTACGCATTGTTGTGCTAATCTGAAGTCCACACCAAGTTTGGAGGTCTTTAGCTATTGACTCTGCAGACAGTTTGCTACTTCTGCGCACTGTGTGCTTCAGCATGCACTGACCCCGCTCTGTCATTTTACGTGGCCTACCACTTGGTGGCTGAGTTGCTGTTGTTCCCAGTTGCTTCCACTTTTTTATAATACCAATAACAGTTGACTGTGGAATATTTAGTAGCCAGGAAATGGTACGGATGGACTTATTGCACAGGTGGCAACCTATCACGGGACCACGCTTGAATTCACTGATCTCCTGAGAGCGATCCATTCTTTCACAAATGTTTGTAGAAGCAGTCTGCATGCCTGGGTGATGATTTTATACACCTGTGGTCATGGAGGGGATTGGAACAGCTGAATCCAATGATTTGGAGGGGTGTCCCAGTACTTTTGGCAATATGGTGTGTGTATATATAAACACATTCAAACTACCACTACATTTCTTTATCAATAAACCTATAATACACGGAGTCATTTTTTGTGCTCCTTTGTAGGTGTAATCATGTTAGTGTAATTAGTTTGGGGGGTGGAATTTATTCTATTGGCCATTATTTTTGCCTGCCTTCCCAAGTCCCTGTCTGCCTTTTTTTTGTTGCTGTTGTCGCACTGGAATGCACAGAATAACACACCTCTTCACCCGCAATTTCGGCCAAGCACAGGAAACAGTGGCCAGGAATCATGGGATATGTAGTCCAATAACAAAGGAGAGTATTATGCCAATAACAGAAGAGGAATTTTATGTGATTTTTTCTTTTTTTTTTTTTTTTTGTCACAACAGGTGAAGAAAAATAGCCCCCCACCTCTTTCCCTCTTCGGTCAAATCTTATGGAGAGAGTTTTTCTATACAGCAGCTACCAACAACCCCAAGTTCGACCAAATGGAAGGGAATCCAATCTGCGTACAGATCCCATGGGACAAGAACCCTGAGGCGCTGGCAAAGTGGACAGAAGGAAAGACTGGCTTCCCCTGGATTGATGCCATCATGACACAGTTAAGGCAGGAGGGCTGGATACACCACCTGGCAAGGCATGCTGTTGCCTGCTTCTTGACCCGAGGTGACCTGTGGAATAGCTGGGAGTGTGGGGTGAAGGTAAGAGACGCTGTATCTAGAACAATATTCGGCAATTGAGAGCAGGGTCAAAACTGCCTCCCCCCCCCCCCCCCCAAAAAAAAATAAATAAATAAATTGTACAGGCTGGGGGAGGAGGTGGACCAGCGGTGCTTCACTTTCTGATTGCAGTGGTGCATCTCACGTCTGCACAAGGGTGACAACGCTTTCTCTCTCTCTGTACTGTATTTATGGAGGAGCTGCATTGTCATACTAGGACTGCAACTGTGTTAGGGCTACAGAATTGTTGTTCCCCCCCCTTCCCCGACTTGGGGTTCATATACACGATCTACATTGATAAAAAATAATTTGGGACCTTTATAGGCTTTCCATTCTATTAAGTCCCATCTGAAATCGCATTAGTGTGAACTAAGCCTGAGGTTTTTTTTTTTATATAAGCAAGTCCTGTTTTTAAATATTCAGATTCTTGTGTATACCCAACCACACAGTATTATATGTTATACATTTTTATCTCCTTCATGAGTTGTAATGGTGGAAGGTACAGAGAGATGAAAAGCACTTGTTTTTTTTTTTTGTAAATCCTTTTGGATTCTTGACCCCTTGGATACCTGTGATTTGCAGTTTTTTGACAGAATTGAACCAGTTCTTTCTATAATTATGTTCATCAGTCTGTGTCTCTGCCTGCAGGTGTTTGATGAGCTGCTGCTGGATGCGGATTTCAGCGTAAATGCAGGAAGTTGGATGTGGCTTTCATGCAGCGCATTCTTCCAGCAGTTTTTTTTTCCACTGTTACTGTCCTGTGGGCTTTGGAAGACGGACAGATCCCAGCGGGGACTATGTCAGGTGTGTGCTGATACAAGGACTTGGAAGGACTATTATACTTATGTTTCCAGGGAAGTGGATTATTTCAATTTGGAACAGGTTTTTCTGTGCCTTTTATTTGGCACATGGTAAATGGGCAACAGAATTTTTTGCATGACATTTCAACACCAGTGCCACCATGATGGTTCCTATCTGTGAAAATAAAATGCGTTTTTAAGTTTCCTATTTGGGATAAGTTTTGAGTAAAGTGATAGTAAACTTATTTTTTATACTTTTTACCTACGGGTAAACTCATAGTAAAGCTCACCTGTAGGTAAAATGAATGTTTCTTAAATGTGCACCATTTAGGAAATATTCTAGTGAGCAGCAGCTGGTGACATCACCGACACATGCGGTCTGAAGGAACAGCATTCCCGTGCCGTTCCTTCAGAGCTGTGTGCTGCAGCCATAGCTCCCGCCCGCATGCATGGGAGTGACGTCATCGAGGCTTCAAAGGTACAATGCCTGTAGTCAGCAGCAGGATGTTACAGAGGTCTAGAGCTGTGATCCATCCTTGTGGAACTCCGTCCTTGAAGACCTCTCCGGTGTATATGTCCACTGAGAAGGACAAAGCCTGGATTTTTTATTTACATTCTAGCATCATAGACAAGTAAGAGCGGGTCGCCCTGTATGCTTCTGACCAATACTGTTAAAGACTGGGGCAATATTTGAACTGTATTCAGTACAGTGTACAAAAGTGAGCCATTGCAAAACCGCAGGCAAATATTCACTCTGAGGTCAACGACTGGAGCCGGAACCTTCTCTAATTCCAGTCTCTGCAGCTGTATTTTAGGCACGCAGAAAGCAGCCAATTTGACAAAGGCAGAATTGCCTTAATACAGCCAGTTTTTACCCAGGGCTCGAAAATGCACATCTTCTGTTTCTGTACCTGAGTTGGATCCCAATTTGTCTGCCCTAGACAAGGCGGATACAGAAGGTAATGAGGACATTGAGACAGTATTGGAGGACGTGTCACACTGTACCTATTGAAGATCTTCCTCCTTTCAAACATTCTGCAGCTAGAAAGTTTGAGATGTTCTTTAAAGGCTCTCTTTACTTTTGCAGGTCCAATTCTACAACCAGCTCTTGCTGCAATTTCAATATGTCAAACTGCAGCTAACTGAACTAAGGCAATGAATAACAACATAACCCTGTTTTCCAGTGTTGTACTTTAACAGGGCAGTTGCTTCCTGCTTTGCTCTTTTGTGTCGATGCCCTAAACATGTTCTGAGACAAATTTCCAGAATGGCTAACCTCCATTCAAATGCACAGAATCTTGTGGCTAAAAGCCTGGACAGCTGAAGCTGCTTGTAAAAAGTTCCTCATATGTATGCCTTTTCAAGGAAGAGGTCTGTTTGGAGGGACACTTGATCAACTCATCAAAGATGTCATAGGAGGGATTGATTTAACTTCCACAACGGAAGGTCCACTAACCACCCTCTAAGGAGTCTCAACTGCTTCAAACTTCAGAGAACCTAACTGCTTTACCCAGGCTTTAACTTCAAAACCCTTCCTTTCATCTCAAGACTTGGGCTACAAGCCCCACAAGTCTTTGCTAAAGCCCTCTTCCCATTGAATGGGAACACTCACTTCTAAAAGTGGGGGATATCTGGTAGTTTGCCTCCCTCTGGCTCAGATATTCCAGATGGTGGATTCAGGCCTACCGTTTTGATCACTCCCGACTCCCATGTATCATGGAGTAACTGCTGCAGGAGAAACAAGTGAGTGCCAATAACAGATGAGCAATGGAAGCTGGTGGGTGATGTTGCGGTTCCCAGAATTAAGCCCCCTTGCCAAGTGCTCCATGATACAGGGGAGCCAGAGCTGCTGCATCATGTCGCTGAAGCAGAATGGAAAAAAAAAGTATTTACTCAAGATTTTTTTTTTTCTTTTACCAGCACTATATAGAATAGGAGGAGGGAAGCAGTGGTTTTAGGCATACTTTTTCTGTAGCCTTTAATTCCAAGTTAGGCACTGTAAAAGGAGAGGTCTTGGCCTTTTCCATTCTCTTTCAAAGACCTCCTGGCTTCTTTTGTAGAGATTTTTCTTCAAGGTGTATCTTGCATAAAACCTCCGCTGCTGCACCCCGTGATTCCCTGGGATCTTAGCTTGGTTCTCTCTGACTTGCAGAAGCTCTCCTCTTAACCCATCAGAGATATTCCTTTATATGACCTTTCCTGCAAAGTAGCCTTTTTGGTTGCCATTGTGTCTGTCAGACAAGTCTCTGAATTAGTAGCTCTCTTCTGTAAGGAGCCATTCCTCATATTTTACAAAGACAAGGTTGTCTAACACCCAAGACCATCCTTTCTTCCCAAAGTGATATTAGTCTTCCACCTCAAGGAGGACATAGTCCTACCATCCCTGCTCCAAAACATCCAAAGGAAATCTTCATTGTCTGGGTGTAGCTAAAGCCAATAAAGTCCTACCTCAAAGCTACAGCTTCAGTGAGACGGACAAGTTCCCTATTTATCCTGTCTTCAGGACCTTGCAAGGGACACCCTGCTTCCAAGTCCACCATTGCAAGATTGCTGCTAAAAAATCTGATCTCTGAAGCATTCACTCTCTCATGGACAGATCTCCTCTTGCACTTTGACATGCCCATTCCACCAGATTGATAAGAGTTTCCTCGGCATTTCACCACCAGGCCTTTGCAGCCCAGTTGTGCACCTGGTCCTCTGTTCGTACTTTTTCAAACATTCTACCAGGTGGATGTCCAATCTTCTGCAGCTACAAGGTGCTTGCAGTGGCACTCTGAACATTGGTCTGTTTGCCATCATTGGACATGTTGGCACTGTTCTGTTTGCCCAGCGGTTGCCTGTGCTTCTCATTCATTGCTCGGGGACATCCCAGGGTGTAGGAATACTTTGTATCCTGTACTGTATGATGAAGATAAGAGAAATTTTGATTTGTAAATTCCATAGCTTAGAGTGCAGTACAGGATATGGGACACTCTTCCATTCTTTGGTTACTCCGCATTGCTTGCTACAATACTGCGGAGTGGGGTAGGGTTGTAAGGGAGGTGTCCGGGGGGCCTGACCTCAGAAGCTTGCCAGTGTCCAATCGCCTGAAAGTGCAAGCCTCTGACCCCGGTTCTATGAACATTTTGCCTGTGTCCTGTACTGTACTCCAAGATACGGAATTTTTAGGGAAGTTAAAATTCCCTTTTTTTTTTTGTTTTTTTTTTCTTTCAGGTTTTCTCTCTGCATGAGCCTATGACTCAACAATGAAAGGAGAAGTGGCAGACTGATGAGCTCATCTCTCTGTCACTTTGCTTTCACCTCCTCTTAGCATGTCACTTCTTAGCACTTTGAGCACTGCAGCATAATGTACTGGCTCCTTGTACTGCATCTCCCTCTTCCCCGTCCTAGCTCTGCTGTACGGAGACTGTAAGAGACGAATACCACGTTAAAGTGATTCTAAAGGCTTAAATTAAAAAAAAAAAAAAAAAAAAAAAAGTCTATAATTACCTGCTGTGTGCAATGGTTTTGCAAAGAGCAGCCAGGATCCTCTTTTTGGGTCCCCTGACGGCGCTCCTGGCTCATCCCTTCTCTCTGGTTGCCCCACAGCAAGCCACTTGCTATGGGGGCACCCGAGCATGCATACTCCCCAGAGAGAGGGGGCGGGGCCAAGCCCTGGCTTCGTGTGTGAATTGACACATGGAGCCACACCCTGGCCCCGCTCCCCCTCTCTTGTCATTGGCTCACTGGCTGTGTATGACCGCAGTGGAAGCTTATGGCTCCTGCTGCTTTCTCAGCCAATCAGGAGAGGAAGTCCAGAGGTAGCCGAGTCTCTAGTGTGCATTGCTGGATCGAGAAGGGGCTTAGGTGAGTATTGGGGGGGCGGCTGGAGGGGATGCTGCTCACCTTCATAGAATGCATGCAAGGTAAAAGAACGTGAGCCTTTACAACGACTTTAAATTAAGGTTCTTGTACTGCTTGCATTTAAAATAAAATGAATGATGTATTTATGATCACATAGCTGCATGCATTCATGTATTTTATCTGCCTGATGTTTAGCTTTAACTGGCTTCTGAGCAAACTTGCCGTAGTGTTTGTTCACATTGTGCTGCTATGATGACTGATAGGGGACTTTACATTGTAATATCCTGTGATGCAGGGACCTTTGTGAATGCTTTTGTATCTTTTGTTAGACCAGAGGTAGGCAATTTTGACACTCCAGGTCCAGTGTAACTTTAAATCCCATCCTCATCGCAGGCTATCCCCTCTTCAGTCTATCATGAATGCTGCTGCCAGACTCATCCACCTTACTAACCGTTCTGTATTTGCCATCCCTCTCTGCCAATCCCTCCACTGGCCTCCACTCAGTGTCCTCCATCCCTCTCTGCCAATCCCTCCACTGGCCTCCACTCAGTGTCCACCATCCCTCTCTGCCAATCCCTCCACTGGCCTCCACTCAGTGTCCTCCATCCCTCTCTGCCAATCCCTCCACTGGCCTCCACTCAGTGTCCTCCATCCCTCTCTGCCAATCCCTCCACTGGCTTCCCATTGCCCAACGGATAAAATTCAAAACACTAACAATAACGTATAAAGCCATTTATATCTCTGCCCCAAATTACATCACTGATCTTGTCTCTAAATATCACCCAAACCGTACTCTCCGCTCCTCGCAAGACCTCCTACTCTCTAGCTCCCTTGTCTCCCCCTTCCATGCTCGTCTCCAGGACTTCTCCAGAGCTTCCCTCATCCTCTGGAACGCTCTACCCCAATTTATCAGACTATCGCCTACTCTGCTCACTTTTAGGTGATCTCTGAAAACCTATCTCTTCAGGGAAGCCTATCCTGCCCTCAGCTAATAATGGAATCTTCTACTCTTCCAACCAGTCCATCCCCCACAGTTACTACCTTTTGTACCTCTAGCCCCTCCCTCTTAGATTGTAAGCTCCCAGGATCAGGCCCTCAAATCCCTGTTGTATTGAACTGTACTGTTACTGTATTGTCTCCCGTTATATTGTAAAGCGCTGAGCAAACTGTTGGCACTATATAAATCCTGTATAATAATAATAATAATAATAATAATGCCACTGCCCCTGTGGATCATGCCTTTGGCTATCAGTCTTGCAATGTTGCATGTAACATGTAATTCCACATGGCTGGAGTATCAAGGTTGCCTATAGCTGTGTTTAAGTGTATGAATGACCTCAGCATTTTATAAATACAGAAGATAATAGATCATGATAAACAGGTCTTTTGATTTGTGTTTTGGGTACATTTTCTAAATAGTTTACCTCATTGGCTTATAGACGGTACCTGCCAGTGCTCAAAGGCTATCCTTCCCGTTACATATATGAGCCCATGGAACGCCCCGCAATCTGTGCAGAAGGAAGCCAAGTGCATTGTGGGTGTCGATTATCCCAAACCCATTGTCAACCATGCTGAAGCCAGCAGATTGAACATAGAACGCATGAAACAGACCTATCAGCAGCTGTCTCGCTATCGAGGGCTCTGTGAGTATCCAGCGTCTGTCATCTTTTCCCGAGAGTGTCCTAAAATCCTTCCAACTCAAAATTTAAGTTTGGTCTTTCAGCATAGGTTACACGCACTAATTGGTTTTGGCAGTCTGTCAAACTTTAATTTTGTTTGTGTGCATGTTCCCCTCCTGCTGCACAGACTACATTGTATTGTGTAAGTCTGAATGCTGTCCTGTCCAGGGAAATCACTGTGCTGTATGCCAGCTTATGCAGCCAAATAATTGGGGAATGGTGCCATGCCTCCCTGCTTTCCACTGTAGTAGCCAGTATCTATTTTGAAAACTATTTTGCTTTTCTAGGTATTTTGGCCTCTGTGCCATCCTGCGTGGAAGATATCAGTGGTCCTATTGCAGATCCAGCTTCCTCTCAACAGGGGTCCTCCGATCCAGGTGAGACATCCCCAAACGTTTAGCTCCCCAGAGAGATTATTAACATGGCTCACAGAAACTGGAAGTACATTGACAGTCACGAGATTTATGGAAGGATCAAAAGGTATTTTGACACTTATTGCACAGATGCAACAAATCAATTTCAGTGGTATACGGGACAGACCAAAAGAGAGCAAATAAGAGATGTTCATTGTTAACCTTTATATTTACTTTTGATGAAAGGAGGTTTCTTTTTAAAGCTGAAATCCAGGAAAAAAATCAAAATCTCAGGACCTTTTTTTTTTTTTTTTTCCTTTTTGGTTTAGGTATGCTCTGTGTTTATTACCATTCTTGCAACCCACCTTAAACCCTGATAATGGTACTCACCCACAGGGGCGGACTGACCATTTGGAAACTCGGGCACTGCCCGAGGGCTAGGGGGCCCCATGAGATGCCCCTGGTACCTTTTTCATAGGCTTTTTTGAGTTTGGACAAGGGCATATGATCCCCTATTGCCCGGGGGCCCCATGGGTTGTCAGTGCGCCCCTGCTCACCCATCTGATGGATAGGAAAAATGGACACTGAAGTTCTACCTTTCTTCCCCAGCCTGTTGATGCACAGCAAAGGAGCAGCACAAAAAAGCTATCTTTGTGTCCCTAAGCTTTGATTGGCTTAGAGTGCTGCCCTTCGCTCTGCCAGTGCTGTTGTGCAGGACAGGTTCAGATACTTACAAAGATCAGCCATAACATTATGACCACCGACCATAACCCATCATTGCACGGGTTTCAGCAGACCTCTGAGGATTTAGCGCAGAGTGGTATCTATCAGTAGCAGAACCTTTAAGTCTTGAAGTTGTAAAGTGGGACCTCCATGGATCAGAATTATTTTTCTAGCATTATTATTATACAGGACTTAGCGCCGACAGTTTGCTCAGCGCTTTACAATATAATGGGAGACAATACAGTAACAATACAGTTCAATACAAGAGGGGTTCGAGGGCCCTGCTCCTTGGAGCTTACAATCTAGGAGGGAGGTGATAGTGGTACAAGAGGTAATTAGCTGTGGGGGATGGAGTGGTAGGAGGAGTAGGGGATTCCAGTATTGGCTATGAAGCATATCCCACCAATGCTTAATTTGGAGATCTGTGGAGTTATGAGACCAAGTCAACACCTCAAACATGTGTTCCTCAAATCATTCTTTAATTCAGACTAGGCCACCTTCTTCCATTTCTCCGTGGTCCAGTTCTCATGGTTGCATGCCCATTTGTAGGTGCTTTTGGTTGTGGAAACAGGTCAACATAGGCAAACCCACCGGTCTGTGGCTACATGCCTGATACGCAACAAACTGCAATGCACTAAGTGATTTGATTGTTTTCTATTGGAACCAGCATTTAATGTTTTCATCACTTTGCACTACAATAGCTCTTCTATTAGATCAGACTACACAGGCCAGCCCTCATTCCCCATGTGTATTAATGGCCATCCATGACCCACTCTGTTGCCAGTTTTCCCTTCTTGGACAAATTTTGGTTGGTCCTGTCCAATACAGACTGGGAACATCCCACAAATGTTGCACTTTGGAAATGCTCTGACCCAGTCATCTAGCCATTAACAATTTTGGTTCTTGTCAGAGTCTCTTAAATCCTTACACTTGCCTGTTTTTTCTGCTTTCAACAAATCAACATCAGGACAACATATTCCCTTTCCCAATACAATACATCCTACCCACTTTCAGGTGCCTTTGTAATGAGATAATAAATGTTATTCACTTTTACTTTTCCATGGTCCTAATGTTATGGCTGATCGGTGTAAATGATAGGGCAAAGAGCAATGATACGCAATGATCCAGGGCTGGCCTTGGGGGGTATTGCTCATGGGAAATTTTTGGAAATTATGGGTTTGAGTCACAAAGCTTAATGCAAGAATAAGTAACTTTTATTTTTTGGCCATGTGACCAGGGGCGGACTGACAACTCATGGGGCTCCTGGGCAATAGGGGATCATGGGGCCCCTGTGTCCTTGCCCAAACTCAAAAAAGCCTATGAAAAAGGTACCAGGGGCATCTCATGGGGCCCCCTACTGACCCTGGGCCCTTAGGCACTGCCCGAGTTTCCAAATGGTCAGTCCGCCCCTGCATGTAACTATAAATTTCAATACTCATTGGACTTTGAAAATAACTGTCACTTTGTTGAAAAAGAAGTATCCTTATCCAGTTGTGTTGACTTATAAACTGAGCCTTATGTAACAGTTGCCGCTAAATTTACCAAGAAGAGTCGGCTCTTCACTGGCCCTTTCTATTTTTTATAAAAGTGGAACTAACCCCATCGATTTACCATTTTCTAAAAACTGCTACATTCCTAGCATGCCAGCAGTGCTAACTGTCACATTTGCTTGTGCTCTCAACCAGACTGTCAAACTAAAAATTCCCAACACCTTCCAACAATGGTCACTAGGACAAATACTTCCAATGGGGACACTGGCATCAGTAAAAACCTGACAGGAGGTTTAACACTGTCCGCTCTATCCAAATTGTAAATTTAAAGAAGCAGCTAAGAGGCATGGTTAAAATCCAGCTTTGGGGGCCCACCAGATGATAGAGCCATGTGCATCGCCATTGTTGCCACTAGTGAAAGATGGCTACAGCAGTATCCCAGCACAACCCGGTTTTACCTTTTTTTTTTTTTTTTTTTTTTTTTTTTTTTTAACATTTTCTAGGTATGTTGATGTTCAGATTGTCTGTCTGCACGTGACAGGTTTTTGCTGTTTGCTCATAAAGGCCATTGAATGGAATTGTGCAGTTTATTCCATCCTTTCTCAAAAGGTGGGCAGCAATATAATTAGTATGTTTCTTGTTGGGTCACGAAGGTCTTTGTACACAACGCTGATGTTTCGCTAATAATTAGACTTGTGTACCGACCCTAAAAATAGATTGGATACAGAGAACAGGAGGCTGACCAGCTCACTGCGCATTCAAGACACATAATACAGACACTTAATATCATTACTGTAGAGCCAGGTCTGTTACTGCACGGAATTGATCGTTCTCAGGCCACTGGAGAGATTGGGAAAGAAATGTCATCTGAAAGACGTAGGTTACATCAACGTTTCAAATTATTTCTTTCTCATCCATTGAGGGACACAGACATTCAGATACAGTTGGGTTATACTGATGCCTACAGGAGGCATGTATTGTACACTGTTAAATAGAAAATTTGTAGGCCAACCCTGGTATAACCCTTCCTCTGTCCAGCATTGCTAGTGTCCTAGGAGGAGGAATGTCGTCTTTTCTTCAGCTCTACTGAGAAATGTCTAACAGGTGTTTCCTTTCTTCACTTTTATTTTTTCCTTGGAATTATTTATTAGACTTTAATATGGATTCCTCACTGCATGTCTGCTTGAGCTGGTCTGTACATAGCTGGTATCGGATCGGCCATTCTTCAGCCTGAATTTTGAGTGCCATACCCTGCCCTCTGCATTGGATGTGCAAGGTTAGCTTGAAATGTGACCCCTGGGGGCTGAGTTTTACACTGCGGTGCTTTCCAGAACTTTGTGTATTGGTAAAATGTAAGCCACAGAGCGCTTTCTAGGTACAAAGCCTAGCTATAGCTAGCTATAGATCTTAGCCCTGTCTCTAATGACTCACTTTGAGTAAGGCCATACGGGCTGAAGCACTGAGATCTACCTTGTTATTGCCCTGCTGGGTGGCTCTCGAATTTCTCGCCACCACCAATTTCACCGCAGTAAGAGTTAACTCTTAGGAACCAAGTGCTGACTTCATTCACTGGATAGAATGCATCACATGTTCCATGCTCTTTTTTTGTCATTCAGAGTAGAAGAATCACTATCCCGCTGCTTTTGCTTGCACCATGTGGAACTCCGGTCCATTCCCACTGCCTTCCTACAATGACCTGGTCACCTCCAGCCATCCAATACTCGGCACCAGCTGCCTGGGTCTGTGAGTTCCACTGTGAGCCTAGCCGAATTAACATTTTGAGGATGCAATGTGTCTGCTCAGAGGGGTAAGTCCCACTGCTATGGGTAACCCTATCTTATACTCTCCTGGTGGGCTCTGGGGGCATCTGTCATTTCTTAAGAGAACCATCACCTTCAATCTGGAAATTTGTGCCCCTTTTAGATATAGGGTCTACATCATTGGAGTCTCTTAGATTTGTCAGGTGAGGCAGTGTTGCCTTCCCTTGTCAAAAGGGACTCTAGTGAGGACTTTGTGGCCTATCTCACCCAATTCCTCTTAGTTAATGACCCTAAAGGCTCTAAGTGCACTCCAGCACCTTCCTGCTTCAAAGTCTGTCTCTGATCTTTCCAAGCTCTTAGAATACACTAGGTGACTGGTCCCTGTGACCATTTCCCAACAGTCTTTATCTGTCTATATATAGACTATTTATGATGTGCCACAGTTCTGCCATCAACCCCACTTTGCAAGAAGTCATTTTGAGTGTTGTTAATGCAGTGTTGATTACCCTGCATGTGGAGGAACAGCCTGCTGTGTCCACACTTTGGTCTTTTAGAGCTGCTACAGTTGCAAATACCTTTTCATTACACCCGTTATTTGAGGTTTTCCTTTTATTTGGACTGGAAGCAGCCTGAAGGGACCTAGATCCCACCTGAGAGTCCACTGGAACTGTTCCACTTTAGAGAGGGAATTTGTTAAATAATGGTGTGTTCCCCCTTTGGTTCCACCAGTGACCCACCATAACAGAAAGCCACTAGAGAGGTAGTCCTTCCTACCTTTTAAAGTGTCATCAAACCCACATTTAATTCTGTGAGTACATTCTGCATTGTATGTTGTTCATACTCAGTCATGTTGGGGTTCGTTTTCTGTACTCCTGCATAGTTACATAGTTAGTCTGGCTGAAAAAAAACCCACAGTTGATCCAGAGGAAGGCAAAAAAAAACCAGCAAAGCATGATCCAATTTGCTCCTGCAGGGAAAAAAATTCCTTCCTGATCCCCCGAGAGGCAATCGGATATTCCCTGGATCAACTTTACCTATAAATGTTAGTATC